GGGAAGAGTCACACACCATGAAGCAGCTTGGAAATGTGTCTTAACCAGCTTAATGACTCTACCAAGGCTCCTGAAAAGTTAGATAAGACAAGGTTTAAAAAGCCATTATGCTCCCTTCCTTGCAGGTGCAGATTTTTTTTTCTTTCCTCAAGTTATAGATACTTACAAGTTAAAGTATCTCAGTCATTCTTGATTTTCTTTGAGTCAGTGATACTTTGGAACCTGTTGGAAACTCTGGGCTCTCTACCCTGCAAATTGATACCACTTAAAACCATTGCATATGATTTTGTTAGATTCTCGATTCCCCCCAGAATCTATTCATTTTCTCTTTAAAAAAGTATGGTTTGAACTCATGATAGGGTTAGGATGCTAAGCAATAGGTATGAGTGTTAAGAAACTGAGGCAGTGTTTTTAGAAGCCCTTTTCACGTCTCATTGGAACAAGTCCAGAGTAGGCAAGCACTGAGTCTTCAGGCCAAATAGTAATTAAACAAAATAATATTGTTGCACAGACACTGAATGCTCTCTTCAAGATGCTATAGGTGTTATTCTTTGTAGATGGTCATTAGAACACCTCCCAACACCAACACATTTTTATTCAGATAAACTCAGACTACAAAAAAATATCAGAGGAAGCCTTCAAAGGTAGAAAACAGCCATCAAGTGTAGCCTGGGAACTGTGTTTATGGAAAAAAGTAAAAGTCTTGGAGATTTCCCAAGAGAAAGGCCGTGACATTTATGGAATAAACTATGTCAATGAACTACACATATTTGTCAACATTAGCCTCCAAAATGTCTTCCATTTCCCCAACTACTTCCTAATCCTTCATAGCAAAAATGTGTAAATTGGGAAATCCCCGTAGACACAAAGTTACACCCTGAGAAGAACGGTTAAATGGTTCATTTCCAAAAATCAGATCAGTCACTACTTCATGGTGCACTACTTTGAGAATTCAGAGGAATGAAGTGATTAATTAGAAAAGAAAGTCAAGATGTTTGCCATCAATATGGAAGGGAAAATGGTAGCAAGACAGACTATGCATCTACCATCCCAAATTTAGGAGTGGATGCATCATCCAGAGAGAAAATCAACAAGGAAATGCTGGACCTGAGCCATACACTACACTAAATAGGACGAACAGAAAAATTGAGGAGCATTCCATCCAATAGCATCAGAATACACATTTTTCTCAAGTGCATAAGAACACTTCCAGATAGATCATATGCTAGAACACAGAATAAGTATTATGAAATTTAATATTAAAATCATACCAAGTATCTTTTCCAACCACAATATGGATGAAACTAGAAATGAGCAAGAGGAAAGTGGGGAAATCTACAAGTATATGGAAACTAAACAACACATTCCTGATAAATCAATGGGTCAAATGAGAAATCAAAAAGGAAATCAAAATATCTCTAAACAACTGAAAAGAAAAACATAATACATCAAAGCCAATGGAATGCTACCAAAGCAGTTCTGAGAGGGAAGTTTATATCAATAAATACATATATTAAGAATATAGAAAACTCTCAAATAACAGCCAAAATTTACACCTCAAGGAAATAGAAAAAAAAAACAATGACCTAAGTCCAAAGTTAGCACACACACAAAAAAAGTGGGGGGAGGATAATAAATCTAAGAGGAAATAAATAAAATAGAGACAAGAAAAATAATTTTTAAAAAATCAATAAGTCCCTAAGAACTGATTTTTGAAAAGGTAAACAAAATTGATAAAAACCTTATCTAGACTAGAAAAAAAGACAGAAGACTCATATAAAATCAGAAGTGAAGGAGGAAACATTACAAAATCTACTACAGAAATACATAAGTTCATAAGAGACTACTATGAACAATTATATACTGATCAATTGGATAACCTGGAAGAAATGGACAATTTCCTAGAAATATATGACCTAACAATATTGAATCAGGGAAAAAAAAGTCTGAATAGAATAAAGAGTAAGGGATTGAATCAGTAATCAAAAACCTACAAAGACAGAAAACCCCCAAACCAGGTGACTTTTCTGGTGAATTCTGCCAAACAGTTAAAGAAGGTTTAATGTCATTGCTTCTCAAATTCTTCCAAAAAACTGAACATGAGAAAATACTTCCAATCTCATTTTATAAGGAGCATTACCCTGATATTAAAACCAGATAAGAACCCCAGAAGAAAACTATAACCAATATGCCTGAAATATAGAGATGTAAATTTTTTCAACAAAATATTAGCAAATCAAATTCAACAGCACATTAAAGGATCATACACCAGGGTTAAGTGAATATTATTCCTGAGATGCAAGGATGGTTCAACATACAAAAAAAAGAAACAATACCTGTGATACACTACATTAATATAATGAAAGGTAAACATCATATGATAATTTCAACAGATACAGAAAAAACAGTTGACAAAACACTCTTTCATGATTAAAACCCTCAACAAAATGGACATAGAAAGAACACATTGCAATGTAATAAAATCCATATAGAACAAATCCACAGCTAACTCAATGGTGAAAATTTGAAAGTTTTTCCTCTAAGAACAGGAGGAAAATAAGGATGCTAATGCTCACAATTCTTTTCAATAGAGTGCTGAAAGTCTTAGCTAGAGCAACTGGGCAAGATAATAAAGTAAAAAAAAATCCAAATTGGAAATGAAGACGTAAAATTCTCATTGTTTGCAGATGATATGACCTTATATGTAGAAAATTCTAAAGACTTAACCCAAAAGTGTAAGAAGTAATCACTGAATTCAGTAAAGCTGCAGGATATAAAATGAACATTCAGAAATCAATTGCATTTCTATACAATAACAATAAAACAACTTTAAAAAAAACTTTAAAAACTATCCCATTCAAATTAGAATCAAAAATAACAAAATGCTTAAGAAGTATTTTTAAACCAAGGAAGGAAAAGATCCGTACAATGAAAACTACAAGACCCTGATGAAAGAAACTGAAAATGAAACACAAATGACAGATAGCCCAGGTTCACAAATGACAGCTATACCCATGAATAGGAATACCAAGGATTCTACAGTTTTATGGATTAATTTGGGGAATTTCCCGAGATATCATTGACCCTATAGATAGTCAGGCATCATTGTCTCTAGGCAGGTGTAGATTCAGATCTCATTTAGAGGCATGTCAACCCAAAAGGGGCATATATTGAAAGGAAATCAAAATAATTATTATTATATAAAAACAGATCCTCAAGGGAACAAATTAAATTTAAAAATGTCCTTAGGATAAATTAAGATAGGAAACATAGGCAAACATGTTTTTATCATAGTTAATTCCTTTGAAATTCAGTAAATTATTATTTTTGCTTTGACACTCAGTTAACTTTTAAATGTATTAGGCTTTGTAAACATTATCTCAGTTGATACTATATGATCCTTTACCCTCATTTTAGAGGTAAAAAAAATCAGAAACTAACAGAGTTAAAGATAATATCTTTCAAACAAGTTTCAACTGTATAGCACAAG